AGCACATTTCTAATGCAATTTTTGTGGTAAAATTAGGTGCCTTGCCTGATATTTGGATTAGCTTATACTTGAGTATATATGATACACTATATTGTATATGTGTATATGTAACTTACCTCACTGCTTCTGCGTCACACTGTGTCTGACACTGTGCAGGGCCTTCCTATAACAATCCTCCCAACAGGTTTAGAGAGGAGCCTTGGTGTTGCAGTGCTTAAGCACTTAGCCGTTAACCAAAAGGTTAGCGGTTCAAACCTGCCAGCCTCTGCAGGAAGAAGCTGTGGCTGCCTGCTTCCCTAAAGAGGACAGCTGGGGGGGGGGGGTCCTCCATGGGGCAGCTCTCAGGATTGATGTGAGTTGGCATCAACTCCTCAGCAGTGGGGTGACGGGCCCAGAAGGTCCCTGGGTGGTACAGTGGTTTGTCCTATTCTGCCAGCTGACAGTTTGGCGGTTTGAGCCCACTGGGTGCCACTGTGGAGGAGAAGCCTTGGTGCTCTGCTTCCGTAAAGATGATAACCCGGAGTTCCCTGTGGGGCTCAGTTCTACTCTGACACCCACAGGGCCACCAGGAGCCGGGAAGGGAACTTAATAGCAGCTGGATGAAACAGCAGGTCTGGAAAGTAGTAACATCAGTTCCATCTGCAAACGAAGATGCTTTGCAGAGTGTGGGACTCCATCCAGGGTAGCCTGGCCCTAGCCCAGCAGCCCCCAGAACTTTCCCAGCTTCTGTGATGCTGAGCTGCCTGTGGAATCCAAGCGTCCTGGCCAGACATAGCAATTCGGGACTTGCCGCCCTGCATGGGCGGGCTTTAGTTCTTAGGGGATGAGAGTGAGCCAGGTGAGGCCGGCCTGTGCTGCCCAGCATGGTGAAGAAATGCCAGGAGTGCCATCTTGTCATTCATTACCTGGGGTTTGGGCTCCGTGGAATTGAGCAGTGTGGATTTCACAATGGAAGCAGAAACCTTGCCGAGTTGCCCCGTTGGCTGGCATTTTCGAGTTGAAGGGCCACTGGAAAGGATGATTTTCTCAGCCAGCCTCCTGAATCCCACCTTTGTGAGTCTGGCTGAGCCCCCACCAAGTGCTGCTGCCCTGCGGCCCTGGCAGGGCTGGTGGGAGGGGCCAACAGCTTGGTTGAAAATGACCCTCGGGGCCTGTGGGCTCTCTGCCTCATTTCTCTCATTAAAGTTTGAAATATGTCTTCCGAAGGAGTACCAGATGAAATGCGCGCGCACACACACACACACACACACACACACACACAGCCATTCGCTCTGACTCATAGCAACCCTGTATGACATAACAGGCATGCTCCTCGGGGTTCTGAGAATGTAAATCTCTACAGGAGCAGAGTAGCGGGTGGGTTCTATCCACCAGCTTTTCAGTTAGCAGCCCCGCGCTTAGCCTGAGGCGCCCCCCCCCCCAGGGCTGCTTGAGATGTAAACACAGGCCCATCAAAGTACAGAGCTAACATGCCTGGTATCTCAGAGACTCCTGTTTGCCCTTCCCCATCCAGGAAAACCACTACCCTGAAGTTTTTGCCCTTTTATCATCTGTTACCCACCACTTCTCTATTTCTGGATAGGAAACTGCCACCGAAACAGTGGTGTAAGCCGTCAGGACTGTTTTCCCTCAGTGTTTGGGGCTGACTGGGCAGTTCCGCTGCCCTGGTGTCAGTTGAGATTATTCATGGCCCTAGAGCTGCAAGGTCCCTGTAGGCGGGGATCCCTGTAAGATCCCTCTGCCTGGGGATCTTGTGCTGGTAGCTGGGGCCTCAGGGCTTCCCATGGCCTCTCCACATTGGTGCTTCAGCCTCCAGAACCTGTTCCCGCTCCAGCAGCCCTGAAGCACAGTAGCAGGATTCTAAGGTTGCTAAAGCAGGAGCCCTACAACCACACCCTGTCACCATTGAGCCCTTCTAGATTGTGCTGGAAGGAAACAGACTGTTTCTCAACAGGAGGTGTGGCAGGCGTGTGTGTGTGTGTGTGTGTGTGTGTGTGTGTGTGTGTGTGGTTTGTGAGAGATTGCAGTCATCCTCAGAGAGTGTCCCTAGATCATCATGTGTGTCTGTTTGCACGCCCTGCCCCTTTTTCATTAATCAGGTGAGTTCTAGGTAAGGCAGGCCAGGGCGTGTGTGTCATCAGCAGCTCACTCCAGCTGTGACATGTCCGGCCCGACCCATTAATCCAGTGTCACAACAGAGCAGCTGGGGTGTCACAGGAAAGGTGCCGGCCAGTAGCCAGGAGCTCCTGTCAGAAGGCAAGATCAGGCTCCAAGGGACCATGTCCCATGCCCTTCCCAGGCTGGATTTTTGGCCTCTCCAACAAAGACCATGAGCTCCGAGGTCTTGTTCTGTTTGCATGCTCTACACTTCTAAGTTTTCTTTAGGTCCTTCTTAGAAGTAGCTTCAGCTAGTGCCCACACTTACCACCCTGTGAAGTAAAAGCAAAGTGAAAGAGTGAAGGATGGTGTGAACCATCAGGGAAGCTGCCTGTCTGGTGGGAACAGCCAGTTACTGCTGGTATTGAAATCTCTGGGCAGCACACCCCTCAGGCCATTCCCCTCCTGTCCCAGTACCCATGCTACGCCCTTTGAGCGTGGCCAGTCCCCTGGCATCCTGTTGGCTGGCCCTTCTCACAGGTGTGGTGGACATTGCCTGCCAGCATCCCGGCTGGGGCAAAGAAAGGCATGGCAAGTGCAGCCGTAAGCGCCAGTCAGGGTCTTTGGGTGACCCAATTAAGCATGTGAGCCCCACACTCCCTAGCATGCTGACCCTGAGACCAGATGCAAGCCTGTGTTTGAACCAGCCACTGATTGCATGGCCTGGGTCTCTTGCCCACACATCTTTCCCTTCTTCCTCTCTAGCACCCACCCTACTTCTTCCTTTGATTCGGTCAGCATAGATGCTCATTTGTGTTTCTCAGTTGGGACAGCATTGGAGGCCACCTCAGGAGAGTGGCGATGCCATCTGGGAAGAAGCCCACTTCCGGGCAGCCAGGGCTCTGGTGACTGGTGGCTGTCCTGTATCAAAAAGGGTGGTTAGCTGAGTGGGAAAAAGCAGGCAGTGTGGGGCCACAGGCATTTTGTCCTGCGTGTGGTACCATCCACCATCCACTCATCTCAGGGCCTTACTGGCCATCCTTAAAGGCTGCTGAAAGTGACCTCCCCCCATCCCACGTGCCCTGCTCCCTGTGCCCAACAAGTAGGCCTGTCTGCCTGGGCTGCCTTTTCCAGGAGGCTCTGGGGTGGGAACACTCAGTGCAGCGAGGGTCTCACAAAAGGCAGCTGGTCATCATGGCCCTGCCTGCCATGCTGGCCAGAGGCACCCTCCCTGGAGGCAGATAGATGGCTAGCTCTGATCCTTCTGGGTCTGGTCATACTCCCAGGACACTCCCCACTCGCTCAGCTTCTAGGTGGCTCCTGGTGCTGGGATTGGAGCAGGCAAACTGCCAGGAGGGTGGGCTTTGACCCTGACTTGCAGGTCCTGTGCTAGCTTGCCTGCCTGCCCAGCCCCAGATGTGGGCGGCGTGCCTCACTTTCTGCTCCAGATCTTTCCCCTGGGGCTCCTGAGGTTTGTGGGTGTCAGGCAGTGGGGACCCAGGGGCTGCCTTTGTCCCCTTCCCACCACATAGAGCAGGCAGCTCTGGGGTTGGTTTGTCCCTCATCATGAAGACTGTAGAGAAACACCTTTTCTGAGGTGTCCTGTGTGGTGATGACCTCTGCCCCCCAGGTGGGTCCCTGCTACTGGGAGGGCTGAACCCTTGTCTCCCCTGCCCCTCCTGTTGAAGGCATTTCTAGATAATAACTGGTAGAACCTAAGAAGCTTGTGTGGGGACTTGTGTGTCAGGCTGGGAGCAGAGTCCTGGGGCCAGAACGAGGGGAAAGGGTGTTTCCAGGTCTCCTGCAGAAGCAGCCACCGCTCCGAAGCCACCCCGGCACAGCATGGGCCTGTAGCCACTGTCACAGCCATTACTTGAGGGACCCTGTGCAAACACGTGGGTGGACGGACTTGGCTGTTCTGCGCTGGCGGAACCCCGTGCACTGGGGCGTGGTCTGCACTGCAGCTGCTCGGCCAAAACCATACATGGTACCCATGCCGCACAAGTGACTCACCCACAGAGGCTGATGTAACCTGGGGAAAGGCCAGAGCCTTAGCGAGCTGCCCGGGAGCCCCCAAGTGTCCCTCTGCCTGGCACAGCCTGGCGTGCTCTTAGCAGATCCAGCCCTAGCCAGGCAGCCAGCCCTTGTGGTCTCCGAGAGGAGTGGAGGACTTTTCATTCTGAAACCTGCCAGGATGGGTTCTTTCTAAAAGGAGGACTCGGGGTCTTCACTAGAGAGGGGCTGATCTTGGGTGGAGGAGTGTCGGGTGCTTACGCCTCAGGGCGAAAGGTGGGAAGACCAGGTTCCCTGGAATTGCTCTAGCACCGGCCCTCGGCCAGTGGACACTGAGGCCTGGCCAGCAGCTCCGGGGTCAAGGCTAGACTTCTGTGTTGCTCCAGCGACTGTTGTCTGGCCAGGCTTCAAGGGGTACAGAGACTTGCCCTCAAGGCAAGGCCGGGCCATGCAAAGTTCTGTAAACCGTGCCGGCTCAGGGCTGGCACCTCTCTCCCTGGGCAGAGTCCAGAAACCGGGCGATGAAAAGTCTGCCCTGCTGTCTTCCTAAACACCCAATCACCTGTCCACGAAGAGGAAATGAGCAGCAGAGGGTTTCCCACAGCCAGATGTGATCTGTCTGTCTGTCTTTGGGGCTCACGTCCTGCAGTGATGGTGTTCCTGTCTGACTGACTGCGTTTTCTGGTTGGTTGGACGTTTTTGACATTTCAGCGTCATTACCTGATAAAACATAAAGCTGGCTGTTGTGTGTGCCTTTCACCAGTGGTTGGGGACCTTCCTGCCTAGTGAAGCCCTGGGAGGTGGCGGGGGTCTGGCAGCAAGGCCTTGCTGCCACCCTGCTGTGGGGGCTGGCTGCCGAGACAGCCCCTCACCCGGCGCCCTCTCCGCAGCCATGGATTTCCCCCAGCACGGCCAGCACGTCCTGGAGCAGCTGAACCAGCAGCGGCAGCTGGGGCTCCTGTGTGACTGCACCTTCGTGGTGGACGGGGTGGACTTTAAGGCCCACAAAGCCGTGCTGGCCGCCTGCAGCGAGTACTTCAAGATGCTCTTCGTGGACCAGAAGGATGTGGTGCACCTGGACATTAGTAACGCGGCAGGTACCCCGCTGGTCCCCAGGGCCTTCTGGCTGGCGCTGGGGCTGGCTCCTGGCCACCTGCACAGGCCTCAGGCCAGGAGGATGGGGCATCACAGTGTGTTGACTGGGGTGGGCGTGGCAATGGAGGGGTTCTGCTGAGCTCCAGAGCAGAGTGCACTTGGAGCAAACTCTGGAGGATTGGGGATGGGGTGGGCGTGGGGGGGTTGGACCCTGAGCACCCAGCCTCTCCCATGGCTGAGTTAGCCATAGCTCCTACTCAGTACTAACCAGAAGCACATGGGGTGTACGGGGTGTATACTAGGGCAGGGTGTGCTTGTACGTGGGGGTGTCAGGCAGTCTTGGGAACATGGATAGAATCAGTCCTAGATTCAGGTGCCCAGCCCAGAATGGCATGATGTGCCATGAGGAGGTCCGGCAAAAAGATACTGCGTGTTTTAGAGACAGAAATGGAGGCCCAGAGAGGGTTGGGGGCTGATCCCTACTGAGAAGCCAGGGCAGTGTTGGCCCCTCTGCTGAGAGCCCCGGCACAGGAGTGGGGGAAGGGGGCTGGCGGGCTCCAGGACGAATGACTGTTCCTGCAGGCCTGGGCCAGGTGTTGGAATTCATGTACACGGCCAAGCTGAGCCTGAGCCCTGAGAATGTGGACGATGTGCTGGCTGTAGCCAGCTTCCTCCAGATGCAGGACATCATCACGGCCTGCCACACCCTCAAGTCACTCGCTGAGCCAGCTATCAGCCCTGGGGACAACATAGAGGCCTTGGCTGCGGGAGGTAAGATGATTGGCCAGCTGGTCATGAGCAGGTGGCCGTGGATGGGCCCTACCTCTCCCGTGGTGGTGAGCACTGCTGCAGTGAAACGGGGGCCATCACCTCCCTCCCTCATGGGCCTTTCACCTGCCCATGTCCTCTGTACTCAGGGAGACCCCCTGGCCTCCCAGAGTGCTCTGCTCCCCCACCTCCCCTCTGCTCTCCTGAACCCTCAGCTGGGCCCAGGCCTGGCCTCTGCTCAGGGTTAGCATTTCTTCACCGAGGCCTGCCTCCCCAGACAGACTGGGCTCCCCGAGAGCAGGTGCCAGGTGTTCCTGTGCCCACTGTGGTCATCCCCTGCCCAGCCCAGGTGCCCCATAAATAACCTGTGAGTGACTGAAACAACCAACAACTACTTAGCTGTCTCCCCAGGGAGGACCAGGAGCAGCCATTTCTAATGGGCACTTACTTAATGGGCAACAGCAGGTCTATCCTGTTCCATTTCTAGGAGGGGACAAGAAAGCCAAGGAGAAAGCTGCCGTCCCCATGCCGAGCGAGCCGGACCTGATGGGGGGCAGTCTGTCGGTTGGTCCAGGCAGGGAGCCCAAGGAGGAGCGAGGTGGCCAGGCTGAGAGGGAGGCCAGCGGTGAGTTGTGGCCTGAGGGCCTGGCTGGCAGCCCTGCTCCTCCCAGCAGCCTGGACTGAAGGGCTGGCTCAGAAGAGACCCTGGGGGAGGGAAGTGGGCTCACCCAGGGAACTGTACTTCCTGAGCTCAGGTTGCCCAGAAAGACCTGGTGTTGCCTCTGGGGTGTCTGAGTCAGTCTGAGCTATAGTTCCCCAGAGAGAGTCCTAATTCATCGCTACCTGCTGCCCCCAGGGGCAGAGCAGACTGAGAAGGCCGATGCCCCCCGGGAGCCACCACCCGTGGAGCTCAAGCCGGACCCCACCAGTGGCATGGCTGCTGCTGAGGCCGAGGCCGCCTTGTCCGAGTGCTCAGAGCAAGGTACTCCGCCCACTCCTCCCTGCTCCCCCCCTCAGCCCTCCGTCCAGCCTGAGGGAACTCAGACCGCAGCCATCATCCGCCCTCACTGGACCTGTGCGATCAGGTCTGGCACACTGGCCCTGGACTCCTTTAGCACGTAGAAACTGGCATGCTGCTGCTTCCTGCCCTGCGCATCTGCAGGGGCGCCTCGCTGGGCTCTCACCCTGTCAGGGCCTGTTGGCCGCAGTGTCCTTCCCGCCCTGCAGCTGCTGGGGGCCCCTGGTGGACCGAGGCCCCAGGTAGTACACACTAGGCATGGCCCTGGCCCCGGTAGTGCCCCGGGCGGGTTCATGTCACTCCTCATTAAGGCGGGAGCCCCGTGGCTCCTGGCACTGGTCTGGGTGTGAAGCCCGAGCCCTGCAGGCCTGCCCTTGTCTTTGCAGAGGTGGAGGTGGAGCCAGCAAAGAAAGGAGAAGGTGAGCCCCTGGCCCGCAGCCCGCCGGCCTCTGTCAAGGAGGAGGGGCCCCGGCTGGAAAACGGAGAGGACCACGAGTCGACCGCCACAGACTCTGGCCAGGAGCTGGGCGTGGAGGCCCGGAGCCTGCGCTCAGGCACATACGGCGACCGCACCGAGTCCAAGACGTACGGCTCAGTCATCCACAAGTGCGAGGACTGCGGGAAGGAGTTCACACACACGGGCAACTTCAAGCGGCACATCCGCATCCACACAGGCGAGAAGCCCTTCTCCTGCCAGGAGTGCAGCAAGGCCTTCTCTGACCCGGCCGCCTGCAAGGCCCACGAGAAGACGCACAGGTACGCGGCCAGCCCGGGCCTCGGTGCCCCGCACCCCCACCGCCCCGTCCAGTGACGTCACCCTCTCCCTCTGCTCCTGTAGCCCTTTGAAGCCCTACGGCTGTGAGGAGTGCGGCAAGAGCTACCGGCTGATCAGCCTGCTGAACCTGCACAAGAAGCGGCACTCGGGGGAAGCGCGCTACCGCTGCGAGGACTGCGGCAAGCTCTTCACCACCTCCGGCAACCTCAAGCGCCACCAGCTGGTGCACAGCGGCGAGAAGCCCTACCAGTGCGACTACTGCGGCCGCTCCTTCTCCGACCCCACCTCCAAGATGCGCCACCTGGAGACACACGACACGGACAAGGAGCACAAGTGCCCACACTGCGACAAGAAGTTCAACCAGGTGTGTGGCCCGCCCACGCAGATGGAGGACGGCACAGAGGCCCCCTGGGCCCCCTGGAAGTGGGCTCTAAGGGGCGGGGATGCGCCCTGCAGACCCGTGGGAGGGGCGGCAGGCTGGCTGAAGGGCCAGTGCTGGAACTCTGATGCGGAGACTAGAGGGCAAGCCAGGTCACAGGTGTTGGGCCCGACCAAAACGCAGGGAGGCTGGTTTTGCTTTCTGCTGAGGTCTGGAACATTATGCTGACCTCAAGAAGAGAGCCACATAACAGGCCCCCGGAAGGGCTTCAGATCAATTGCCAACTTTTGGGAGGGGCTGAGGCCACTCTCCGTGGGGGGCCCTGATGACCCCTGCCTTGGCACAGGTGGGGAATCTGAAGGCCCACCTGAAGATCCACATCGCGGACGGGCCCCTCAAGTGCCGGGAGTGTGGGAAGCAATTCACCACCTCAGGTAGGCCCGGGCCGCCCTGCTGCCCGCACCCCGCCCTTGGCCCAGGTACGCCATGCCGGCCTGCCCTGTCTCCCCCAGGGAACCTCAAGCGGCATCTCCGGATCCACAGCGGGGAGAAGCCTTACGTGTGCGTCCACTGCCAGCGGCAGTTCGCAGACCCGGGCGCTCTGCAGCGCCACGTCCGCATCCACACGGGTGCGTGCGCCAGTCTCAGCCTGGGGCAGCGGTGGGGGAGAAGGGACGGGGGCCCAGCACCAAGACCCTCTCCCGCCTTATCCGCAGGCGAGAAGCCGTGCCAGTGCGTGATATGCGGCAAGGCTTTCACCCAGGCCAGCTCCCTCATCGCCCACGTGCGCCAGCACACTGGCGAGAAGCCCTACGTCTGCGAGCGCTGCGGCAAGAGGTCCCGCCCCCGGCCCGCCCCCACCGGGGGCACTACACCCCCGAGGGGGTTGGAAACAGGCCAGGCTGGGTGGGGAACTGGCTAACTGCTGCCCCAGCCCCAGGTTTAGTTCTGAGGGAGCCCCCTCCAACCTAGAAGACAGGCAGGAGACCCCCAGCTCGTTGCAAGCCCTTCCCTCTGCTGCCCTCCAGATTCGTCCAGTCCAGCCAACTGGCCAACCACATCCGCCACCACGACAACATCCGCCCCCACAAGTGCAGCGTGTGCAGCAAGGCCTTCGTCAACGTGGGGGACCTATCCAAGCACATCATCATCCACACCGGTGAGCCGGGCTCTGGGCAGAGGGCCCAGCCTGGGGGCGCACGTGCTGCTCCGACAGCGCTACTGCCTTATGTGGCTCCGCATGCTGCGCCGCAGCACTGCCTGCTTGGAAAGACCAAGCTGCTGGGGAGGCTGAGGCCGGGAGGGTCAGCCCCATTACCCTGCCTTCTCCCCCAGGAGAGAAGCCTTACCTTTGTGACAAGTGTGGCCGTGGCTTCAACCGGGTGGACAACCTGCGCTCCCACGTGAAGACGGTGCACCAGGGCAAGGCAGGCATCAAGATCCTGGAGCCAGAGGACGGTGGCGAGGTCAGCGTGGTCACGGTTGACGACATGGTCACGCTGGCCACCGAGGCCCTAGCTGCAACGGCTGTCACTCAGCTCACAGGTGCGGACCACGGGCCACAGAGGGCAGTCACAGGCCACTTGCCTCTGAGGGCCTCTGGCCTTAGGCCCTGCCGATTCTGCCCACAGTGGTTCCGGTGGGGGCTGCAGTGACAGCTGATGAGACAGAAGCCCTTAAAGCCGAGATCACCAAAGCGGTGAAGCAAGTTCAGGAAGCAGGTGAGGGGGGGCTATCCAGGGTATGGAAGCCAGGGGCCCCTAGGCCCTGACTGTGCTGACAGCAGCCCCCCGCCTCCCACAGACCCCAACACCCAGATCCTCTACGCCTGCGACTCCTGTGGGGAAAAGTTCCTTGACGCCAACAGCCTGGCCCAGCACGTTCGGATCCACACAGCCCAGGCCCTGGTCATGTTCCAGGCTGACACGGACTTCTACCAGCAGTATGGGCCAGGAGGCACGTGGCCAGCCGGGCAGGTGCTACAGGCTGGGGAGTTGCTCTTCCGCCCCCGAGATGGGGCCGAGGGCCTGCCTGCTCTAACAGAGACCCCACCCACAGCCCCCGAATGCCCACCGCCAGCTGAGTGAGCAGGCGCCCCACCTTCGGACTGTTTATTTAAAGATGGACGGCACCCCAGAACTGTGAGCAGTGACCCTGCTCCCTAGAGAATAAATTTGATGATTTTCTAATGCTGCCTAGAGCTCCCTGTGGGGGGGAGCTGGCAGCCATGGCTGATGCCAAGGGCTGGCCCACCCCAAGGCCACTGCAGCCCGTCTGGGTGGGGACCTGCTCTTCCTCCTGCAGCTGTGTGGAGCGTGGGTGTGGGTCAAACACCAGGGGCTAGAGACCTGGCTTCACACTTGCCCAGGCCCCCTTTACTGGACCTGAGCTCCCCCTACTCCATAAAGCACAGCTGTGATGCTGCCCCCACCCATGGAAAGCTTGGGCCAAGGGGCCAGCTCCACTTTCACATCTGAGCTCAGTCTTGAGACCACTCCCACTTGGCTCAGCCAGAGCTGCCAGCGATGACCATGGGAACAGGAGGGCTTCCCAGCACTTGAGGTGCAAGCAGCTTTGGCCTGAGAGTGAAGGTTAGGTCAGTGCCATCCTTTGGGAGCAGCTGCTTACTTTGGATTGGTCTCCAGCCAGGCTGGAGCCCAGGAAGGCCAGTCATGAACTGAGGGGAGGTGGGGACCACAGCAGTCTCCGGGATGGCAGCCGAGAGGTCTTTCTCCACTCCCTTTTCCTACAGGTCACCCCCAGCAGCTGGTAGCCCCTCTTCCTACATCAGAAGCGTGTCGATTATCAGGAGCCCCACTTGATACCATGAGGGCCTTCTCGGTACTTACTGCCTGCCTCCCTAGCCTCGTGGGGCTCTAGCTGAGGAAGGCCTTTCCTTACCCCCCTCCTGAGTCCCGTCCAGACACAGAGCAGGACACCTGCAAGCCACTGGCAGGCCAGGCTCTGCCCCCTGCTCTGGACAGAGAGGGGAATCCAGAGCTTGCGTGTCGCGTTGTGTGGAGATTTCTGTATCAAATCTGAAGTGCCTTCTTCAATGTCAGCTAAGAGCCAATCGCGATCTTGGAAGTTTGACAGATCCTGTACACAACATGGGAAACCCGTAGTCGCAGCAGCCGTCATCAGGAAGCAGGGAGGTGAGGACCCTTGGTCCTCCTACCCAAGTGACAATCACATTCACACTTGATGTGTTTTGTATTTTTTAATAAAGTTTGTAATCCAATGGACACACAAAACAAAACTGCGCTGAGAAAAACAGTTTCATAAATTAATAAGTGTTAGGGAGTTGGGGGAGCTCCAGGTAGGGTGAGACCAGCCAGTCTTTATACAGGTGCTGTGTGACACTTCACGTCGCAGGGCAGGCCGTGCTGTAACGAAGCGCACTTATACAAATGAGTGACGATACAAAGTCTGAGTATGAAAATAAGATTCTCTCTGAAAACACATTTTTGGCACAGATTAAAAAAAATGTATGTGAGGGGAAATTTTGATTTTTTTAAGTCAGTATTATATATATATTTATATATATTATATATTTATATATACACACATCCCAAGTTCTGCATATCCCACCAAAAGGAAGTTCGCTCCTCCTGCTTGCTGTCAAGTGTAAACGATGCGTCCAGGTGACTCCTACGGCGCTAGCAGAGGTTAAAAGAGACGCATCCAAATGAGTATGGGCAGGGGGAGGGGAGAGGGACCAAAAAACTCATGAAATGTTCCTCGACGCCAGGGTTTCCGCAGAAGTTTGAAGTCCTGCATGAGTCCCCGATATGTGTTCACACACCAGCATCCAGAGTGTCACAGCCTGTCTTCACTGTGCAAGAGTCCAAGTCACTAATTTAGTGCAAAGGCAGTTCCATTTTCTTGTTTCTTAAAAACAAAACAAACAAAAAAATTAATTCCACAGCCCTGTTCCTTTTCTCCAAAAAGAGGAGAGAGAAACCCAGCCCCCAAGGTGTCTGCAGGTCCATCAGTTGGTGGTCTGTCCTTGGGCTAAAGCGGCATGTAAACATACAAGGTAGCAGCACCACTGCCCAGAGGTCTGGCTGACAGGAGCCGGGCAGGCGGGCGGGAGGGAGGCTAGCCGGCTGGCAGTGGAGTCTGTCCCCCTCAGCAGCTTCATCCTCCACTTGGCTGGGTTGTCCTGTGTGTGTGGCTGCGGCACCTCGGGAAACCGCCCAGGTGGTTCACACGGAGGCAATGACAATCATGAGGTGAGGAGAAATGTTGGAGATGCTGGCAAGAAGGTCAGGGGCCAGCCGGGACAGGTGACTCTCCGAGAACTCGCAGGGCGGGAAGATCTGCAGCACGTAGGCGGGCTGGAAAGGGGACAGGAGGCAAATGGGCAGCTCTGTGTTCACAAGCACTTGCCCCTCCCCAGGCCTTCAAAGGGACCCACAGTAGAGAGGGTAGCGCCCGGTCAATTTCCCCACCACGCAATCCCACCTCGGCAGGCATGTGGGTGGGAGCAACGGGGAGGAAGCCAGCTGACCTGGTTGGAGCCGGGGTTGGGAACGTTGATGATCCCCGCTGCCTGCTTGGCCTGCAGGTATGTGATGAAGGCGGCCTTGAGGGACTCTGTCTGGCTCACAACGTCCTCTTGGTCTCGACCGCAGGGCAGAGCCAGCAGCAGGCAGTAATCTGTCTCCACCTGGGCAGAGGACAACTGTTACTGTGCAGACAGCCCTCCAGTGGAGGGCTGCCCAGCCTGGGGTGGGGTGGGCTCGGCTCTAAATTCTTTTAAAAGTCCCACCTCTGAGATGGCTTTACATCCACCCTCCAAGAAACGCAAATCCACCGCCATGCCATCAGAGCCCCCAGACCAACCAAGAGGTCAGCAGTCTCAGCAGGAGAAAAACGGAGCGGTCGCGAAGCCCTGTGGGGGGCAGTTCTGTCCTCTAGTGTGGGGCCGTAAGCTGGAAATCCACCCTCATTGAGCAAAAAGGCCTTGTTTCTGGCCCAGAGACCTCTTTTGTCCCTCAAGGGAGAAGGGGCGTGCACATGCTTCCAAATCCCTCTGCCTCGACAGTGGCTCACCCAGGGTCTACGTCTGCCTTACCGTCATCCTCCGGGCGACCCCTTCCAGTTGTGAGGCCTCCAGCCGCATCCTCTGGGCGATCCTCAGGGGGGGTCCCCCTTCAGAGAGGGGGAGGGACCGGTGGGCCAGGACATTGTTGCCAGAGACAAAGTGGAGCTGCACAGCAGCTGTGTCATTCTTGAGGGCCAACAGGCCCTGCCACACGATGGGGTACTTCTGCTCAAAAATAAACACACGGGAAGTGAGGTGAGCATCGAGCCATGAGGGAGGGAGGGGCCAGCTAGCTGGCCTCAGGGAGAGCATCTTGGGCCACGGATATGGCAGTAACCTTGGACGAACCCCGTCCACACGTACCTTCAGGAGTTGGACCATGTCCACAGGTCTCTGGGTAGTCAAGTGTGGAGAGGAGTCTTGTTTGGGGGTGGGCTGGGCTTCTGGATGCGGCAGAGCCAGTCCTGGGACAGTGCTGGGGCTGGGGCTGGTAGTTGTGGGGACAAACAATGGCTGCTTTGGGGTGGCCTGAGCTGGGAGAGGGGCAGGGAGGTCAGGCTTCATGGTGACAGACACTGGAGAGAGGTGGGACGTCTGGGCCGTTTCCACTGGGGTCCTTGGAATCTGGGCAAGAGGTTCAGGTGGCCTGTTTGCAGGTGCAGTGGGGAGTCGAGGCTGCTCAACAACTCCAGTCTGGGTCCCCTTCGCCTCCTGGGAGACCTGGGGCATTTTGCTACTCAGGGGTTGGCTGGGCTGGGAGGGCGGCACAGGTGGGGCAGGCTGTGTGACTGGGGTGGTCTGGGCAGGTTGTGTGGGCGACAGGGCAGGCTTCGAGGGCTCCCCTTCGGGTGGAGGGCCCTGGACGTTATGAAAGAAGACAAAAGGGCAGTCAGTTGATTGTGCACAAAAGACGTCCCGACTCCGAGATGCATGGGGGGCCCCCTGTAGGCAATGTTCTCAGGGTTTGGGGATTGGGGGCTAGGGTAACAAGGGGTCCTATGGCCCCTCCCTTCCCACCACCTCCTGGAACCAGTCCCAAGAGCTTTCCCATGCCCTGAAGGCTCTGTGGTGGGAGCTGACATTTCACCCTGAAATTTGGGTCATTCCTGTGCTTGGCTGGAGTCTCATAAAAAGTCCAACACATGTCAGACCCCACCTGGACTCTAGATTCATCCTCCCGCCTCCCTCCTGAGCGAAGGGCTGCTTGCTCCCCACAATGCTGCTGCCAGCCAGCCAGGCCCTCACCTGCGCAGGGGTCTTGGTCCGGGAAGGTGGGCCGATGGAGGCGGTGGCAGGAAACTGAGTGTGTGTGAGCTGAGCGGGAGCGTGGTAAGCACGGATGTCACCGTACCTATACTCCTGGAACAACTCCCCACTTGAGTGCACAATCTGCACCCCGTGGGTGACCACCACAGGAGGAGTCAGCGGCAGCCCCTGCAGCTGGTTGCTGGGGGTGACTGTGAGGATGCGGGCTTCGCCGTGGGAGGCAGGTGCTGCTTTGGCATCAGGTGTCTTGGCAGCTTCCTTCCCTGGCTGTGGAGGGGCCTTGCTGGCTGGCGACACCTTCACCATGCCCTCTGCCGCCCGGGGCTGCTCGCTGACTGTGGCCACGTGTGGGTGGACCATGATCCTCACGTCCCGAGGCACTGTGTAGGGGTGCAGCCGGTACTCAGACTGCATGACCAACACCTCCGACTGCACAGGGGCTGTGGTGCGAGCGACAGGGAGGTGGTAGTGCACCTCTTCTTCGGGAGGGTGCTGAGGAGCCGGGGCCGGGGCCGGGGCCGGCTGGGGTGTGCCTGCACGCTGTGGGGCCCTGACCTCTATCTGCTGGGGCTGCAGGGGGGGCCGGGGAGAGTGGAGTGTCTCTGGGCGGATGCTGTAGGTGATGCTGGGCAGCGTGGGCGTGGTCATCCTCACCTCGCCCTGCGACAGGTGACTGAGGGACACGGTCTGTGTGATGCTGTGAGGTGGCATGATGACCGACTGCTCCGGGTGTATGCTGGAGATGAACTGGGGCACAGGGATGCCGGCGGCCAACATGACCGTGGCATTGGTGGAGAGGGCCGTGGACGTAGTACTGCTCGGGTGACAAGCTCTTGGAAACGGGGATGGAGCGGGCCCACTCGGTCGGGGAGGATGTGCGTCTGGCTTCGTGACAGCCAGATGGGAGACAGTCCGGTCTGTTGGGGTGCTGGGCCCCGAGTTGATGTGGTTCACATCTGGGGGCAGTTTGCTGGGCAGAGCAGGAGGGTGATGGGGGGTGAGAGCTGATCCCAGGCTGGCTGGTTGGAGGACCTTAGTCTCAATTTTGAGGGTCACGGGGTCAGCGAGCTTTTTATTGGTGGTCACGATGCTCGGGGTGAGGACAAGCTGGTTGTGCACCAGCACCGGGGAGGTGTTGAGGCCCTGAGTGAGCACCTTCACGGTGCCGCCCTGAGTGACAGGGGTGGACACGGAGAGGTGAATGGGCTCAGGCTTCTCCAAGGATGGCCGGTCGGCCTTAACGGAGGAGATCACCGGAGACGCATTATACGTCTGGGCAGTCAGTACCAGGGTGGAGTGGGTGGCCACATTCGCATAGCCTGATGGGGCTTGGCCTTTGGGTGGAGGCTGAGATGGTGTGACAGAATCGGGTTTGACCTGGGACTTGGACACTGACTGCTGGAACTCAATGTCCATCGCACTGGCTGGGGGGATCTGACTGATCTTTGCGCTGATGCGCTGTGGGCCTTCAGTCTTCTGCCCTGAATAGCTCAGGAGCACAACCCCTTCTGAGGTGTTCACACGCAGTCCAGCCCCCGAGCCGGTGTCAGCTGGGCGCTCGTCAATCACAGACATGGATCCTGGGTGGAACCGGTTGTTTTCGTTAGTGTTCGTTCTCGGCTTGCACTTTGCCGCTGGTGCAATCACTGCCCCCGCAGCCATGGTGACTGCACCCGTTGTGGCAGTCACACCGCCGGATGCCGAGGTCACCGCCCCTGTGGCGACGGTCACTGTGCCAGTGGCGGCATTGATGGTGCCTGTGGCTGTGTTCACTGCCCCCGGGGTGGCGCTCACTGTGCCCACCGCAGCATTCACGGGAGCGGTGAGAACATTCACAGGACCCGTCAGGACATTCACTGGCCCTTTGAGGACGTTCACAGGACCGGCAGGCGTGTTCACCAGGCCCTTCAGCGTCGTTACCGAACCCTTCACCGGCCCTTTCAGAGCATTCACTGGGCCAGTCAGGGCATTGACTGGGACCAGTGAGACGTTCACCAGGCTGGTCAGGGCGCTCACCAGGCCGGTCAGAGTTTGAGGAGCAGGTTTCGCCAGCGTTATCTTCTGTGAATTCTCCAAATCAATGCTGACGGGCATCCGGCTAATGACGGATGTGATTTTGGGAGCAATAACTGGAGCCGGTTTTTCTTTATCGGTAGATACTGGAACCTCTAAGGCTTGCACGTCCGAGGTGCTGGCTACTGGCGCGGGTGCTTTCTCCTCTACGAGAGGCTTCTTCGGTTCAACAGGTGGGGGCGGGGCCGGGGCTTCCTGCAAGCAAGGGGCGGCGCTGACAGGCTCCGCAATGGAGGCTGTGACGCTCGTGGAAGCCACCCCTGTGGCAGATGCGTATTTGGGGTCCATGAGGATCTTCCTCAGGGTACTGGAGCTGGGGGCGACGTCAGAGGCTTTGGTGTCTGGGGGAAGAGCCGGAGATGGTGTCGACTGAGCTCGTGGCTCCTCCTGCCTTGTGAGCCACTCGGTCACTGTGGGAGGGGAACTCTGCGGTGGGAGCTTTGCTGCGGTTACCGAAGGAACGGTGGGAGTAGGGGTGCTAGAGTCACTGGGTGGGGTTACTGGGTCACTTTCAATAATCGAATGTACCTTGAATCTGACTGGATGGTCGTCGTCTCCTGGGACTGGCTGAGAAGGGGTGGATAGGTCTGGGGGTGCCGGCCCTTTGGTTGGTGTCTTTTCTTCAACGCTGCTCTCCTGGGATACGCTCTCCCTGGGTGGAGTCTTGCTGAGGTCAGAAGCACATGACTTGGGCTCGGGGGTGCGGGGCTTTTCTTCCTGTGGGGTTTCAGGTGCAGGGACCACCACCGCCTCCTCCTCTTTTGCAGCCGGACTCTTGCTTTGCACCTGTTCAGGCTCAGAGGCAGGGGGCTCTGCCACAGCCCCGGCTTTCCTGTTTGTTTGCCTTTTGCGGCGCGACCGAGTGGTCTTCTGGCGCCCTTTGTCTCTCCGCACGACTTCTGCTTCTTTGGCCCCTCTGGCTTCTTGCACGGAGTCAGAGGGTGCGCTGCCTTTTCCTCTGGTCTCCTTGGTGTCTGCTGGGCCTGTCGAGGTGTTAGGAGCACTGGCAGGTGGCCCAGAAGAGTCTGCAGCAGCCTCAGTCTCCAAGATGCCAGACACGGCCTCGTCTGTCTCAGGCTCCATTCCTTCCTCGGGAGGCTGTGGCCCTGGAGGGTTGGGCTGAACATCTGCTGTAGGCTCTGAGGGGTAAGTGGGAGGGGCTGGGAAGTTTTCTGGCTCCCCAGAAAAGTCATTGATGATGGAGCCAATGGCCGCAGCAAGTTCCGTTTCACTAGCTTGATGGGCCGGCTTGTCCCGACTGTCCTCCGAGGCTCGGCCCTCGGGTGCATCTGAGGCTGCAGCCTTGTAGGCCGAGGCGGCTGAAGTTTCCGTGAGCTTTGCAATGTTCTCCACGGCTTGCTCCAGCTCCATCTGCTTGGCCAACTGTGTTGCTTCTGGGTTACGCTTAGAATCAGACACATCTTCCTTCTCTGGTTCCTTCTCTGGATCAACCGGGTCACTTTTCAGCTGGGATGATAAACTACCCTCCTTTGGGGGACTCTCGCCTTTCTCGGGGGAGACTGCGGTAACCCCAGCTTCCGGATCTCCTGCCAGCCTCGTAGCTGCCCGGGCACCTGCGCTAGCATCCACGGCCTTCAGGTTGGCCGATCTGTCCACTGCTGACCTCGAATTTCGCGCCCTTCCTCTCTTGGACTTGGAGTTTTTTTCAGGGGTTGTTTTCTTCTCTAGCCCTTCAACTGGGGGAGGGTCTGGGGGGGTCCTGCCTGTACCCACGTCCTTTCGGTCATGTTTCTGTTCACTTCCTGCTTCTTCAGCAGGCTTGGCTTTTGTACTGTTTTCTTTCGCGTTCCCCTGAGAACCCACCTCAGTGGCAGTCTCCAGGCGTTCCGCTGCGGCATCAGATTTGGGGTCGTGTTTCCCCTTGCCTTTCCCCTGGGAGCCAGCAGCGGCAGTGAGTTTTTGAGCTCGAGGGGACCTCCATCCCTCCGCTGGTTTGGGTGTTTCAACTGGTTCTTTTGGCTCAGCCTCATCTTCTTCAGCTCGACGGCGTGTTTTGGGGGGCCTCCCCCTCCGAGGGGTCGTAGGGGCTGCTGCCGCTTCTTGAAGCTCTCGCTCCAACCTCTTCCTGGTCAGTCTTGGCTGCTCCGGGGGCTCTTTGACCGGAGAGCGGCTCTCGGTGTCCCCCATGGTTGCATACACACTCCTGACGTTTCGGCGCCGGGTCCGGCTGAGGGGCAAGCTTGGCTCCAGGTGTTCAGGATCCCCAGCAGGGGTTTTAGAAGCAGTCCTGGTAATTTTCTCAGCCTCCATCTTTAATTCTAGCAGTTTCTGTGCTTCTCCCCGAGGAGAACTGGACCGCTTTAGCTTTTCTCGGTCTATTCTCTCACTCTTCCTGGTGACGGGCTTCTCCACAGTGCTGACAGCAGCTGCCTGAACTGGGGTCTTGGAACGTTTACTTTTGTTTGGCTTTTTATCTTTTGCAGCAACTGGAGGCTCAGCCTCTAACTCTTCAGAAGCCCGAGGCTGAACGGCAGGAACGACTTCAGTCTTTTGATTTGGCTCAACATTAGCAGCCGAGTCGGGTTTCTCCACCTTTGGCTCATTGGCTTCCTCAGGCGTTGGAGTTGGCTTGGGAAGTGGTAGGGTCCTATTGGGCTCTGGATCTACACTGCTCTCTGCCTGGGAAAATGAGGCCCCGGGAGTTGGAGGCTTGGCGTCCAGAAAAGGCAGCTGGTCAGTTGGTGAGCTTTCTTCAGCCACTGAGGAAGGCACAGCGGCATCTTTACTGGTGTCTACTCCCGGGTGCGAGCTTCCTTGTGCAGGTTGTTCCACAGGGGCAGGCGTCCGTTCGGATCCCGCTTTTGCTTCTTCTGAGACCGGGGCAGGCTCCGCAGTCTTTTCTTCTGCTACTGCAGGCACCTCCGTTGGCTTCTCACTCGCCGTCGTCTTCTCCGGTGTTGATGGTGCCGAGTCCGGGGTTACGGCCGGGACGGTGGTACTAGGAGGCCCAACTGAAGACGGGGTTTTCAGTTCTGACTCTCTGTTCTCAGAAGCAGGTTCTGGGGTCTTGGGTTGATTCTCTGCATCTTCCTGTTTTTCCGTTTCTTTGGGCTTTTGGTCTTTTTCTTTTTCTTTCTGCTGCATTCGGGTGAGTTCCATAAATCTGCTATGAAATAGAACAACTGGCTCTTGAACTAAATCAGCTGTGCTGCTTGCGCCGCCATCAGATGCCTGCCTCCCATACAACCTGCCGGGAACACAGTCTGAGTCTCCGTCTTTTCTCTCGAGGTGCTGCAGTCGCTTGGAATCTTGCTCAAAGATTGAGCTGTGTAAAAAGCGAGAAGCAAAGAGTTCTTGCCTTTCCTGCTCTTCTTCTTTATGGTCATCTTTTTTAGCGTCCATCTTCCCATCGGCGTCCGTTCGGATTTTCTTCTTTTTCATGTACCAGGACGGAATAGGCCTGGGAGCAGAGTCCACCTTTTCTTTATCTTTGTTGTTTCGAAAAGTAGCAAATCGAGAGTCCCAATCGAGAAAAGACCAATTTTCTTCTCGAGATGAAGAGAGGGACTTGGCTCTTTCAAGCAAAGCCTTAGTGTCTGGGGTGATTGTCTTATCCAGTGCAAAAGAATAGAACTTGTTCCTTTCTAAAGAAGCGGAGAGTCTCTCCTCTCGCTCACGGAGCTTGTCCTCTCTGTCCCTCAAGATGAAAGGCAGTGGGGAACTTTCAAACAGTGCAGAGGCTCTGGGGGAGTGGGACTTGTGATCACCATCGTCATCAGAATCAGAAGGCACCTCACCAGGTTCCAAGTCTCGCACAGACCTCTTTCGAAGGCTGTCTCTCTTAATTATGCTGTTTGGGAAACTCACATCAAATCTGCTAGCATCTTGTTTCAACTGAGAGTCCCAACGATGTAGTTCTTCTTCAGAACTCAAGACAGACAGCTTTATCTTGGCCATGTCTGCCATCTGTTCTCTCCTGCTAGAATCATAGGGATTAAACTTTAGGGACTCTTCCCTGACTGTGATATTAGCATAGGGAAGACCTTTGTCATCTACTTTAGGGGACCCTTTTACTGTCACTAACCTAGGGGAGCTCAGTGGGTCGTCATCTTCATGGAAGGAACCCAGTCGGATGCTGGGCGAGCAACCAGTCCTTTCAGAATCTTCACTGATTTGACGTGAACTTCTATAATTCCTCTCTCTCTTGCTGCAGATATCAAAATCAACATGATCCATCCTTTTCTTTTTGCTGGGAGGAGAGTCATCGGTGACATCTTGGGGAGGTTTGCCCACTTCATGAACAAGGCTACGCCTTTCATAGTCATCTATATCTTTTTTAGGGCTGCCAAATTTCTCAGACTTGGCTATTTCCATCTCCATCTGCTGTTTTCTCCGACTCTGCTCCATTTGTTTGCGGTAACTCTGTGTGTGATCAATATCAATGCCAATTTTTTCTTCAGCAGCTACCGAATGTGGTTTCTCTTGGCCTGCTTTACGTTCAGGTGTCTCCTCGCGAAGATGGCAGTAGTTTTTCCTAAGATCCTCTTTCTCTGGTCCTTGGTCGCCCGACAGCTGTAGCTGCTTGAGCTGTGGTTTTGAGGAAGTGGGTTTTTTGGGTTGGCTCTCTTGATTTTCCGCAAGTTCGCCTACTGGTTCTCCCAGCCTTGCTTGTAGGTCTGTGCTGGGCCTTGAGCCAACCCCAACAGAAATACTGGCAAGCTCCTGACAGTCTTTGGGGCTGGGAACAGCAGTAAGTCTATCCAGTTTGATTTTTTTGGATTCTCTTTTAAGAATTTCTTTCCGCGCAGGCTTTCTTTCAGACTCACCTTCCCTCAGCACAATGACATCTCTAGATGATAGGTCATGCTGCTTTTTCAAAAGCACCCTAGCTTCCTCTAACTCTAGACTGCTTTTCTTGACTTCCAATTTCTGACGTTCTGCTTTGAAATTTGAATCTGCAAAGCGTCTTTTCCTAGCTTCCAATTTCTCCAGATCCACAGCACTGACCCCGTCAGCAGTCTGCTCGGGCTTCAGGAGCTTCCTGGGCTTAAGCCTGCCTTCTTTATCCACCACTTCTATGTGGCTAGAAAGGCCCTTATCCTTTGGCACTTTTAGTCTAACAGATTCCACTTTAGAGAGGTCTGATTTTGCAGGCTCAGCTTGAGAGGCCTGAAGTTTTTGATCTGGGACAGACAGTTTGACAGTGTCGTTATCGAGCTTGGTTTTCAGTTTCTCAAAGGCGGCGTGCTCAATAACCTTGCCCTCTTTTTCTTTCACTCGCGTCAGAACCACACAAGGCATAAGTTCCAGGCGATTTCGGGCTAGCCCTTCTTTGTCCGCTTTCTCTCTGCTCGGTTTACTAGAGCTCCTTGGCTTTTCGGGGCTCAGTTCTCTCTCATTTTCTTGATCTGTTTCTGAGGACTGAGAACTGGAGGAATGAATTTTCCCTTTGCGTTTTTGCTTTTCGGCTTTGTCCTTCTCCACTTTTTCCTTTCTTGTTATGCGTCTCTCTCTCTCCCCTCTCTCGGGATGTTCAAGCGTTCGTTCTTTATCTGTCTTTTCATTTTTTGAATGGCGCTCCACACGAGGTTTGTCGTATCGTGGAGGGGAAAGGGAGCTACAGCTGCCACTGCGGTCCGAGGACCGGCTGTACATCCTCCTCTCAGAATCACTGGGCAGCCTCTCAGACTGGGAGGGAGATGTGCCAGGACTCTGTGGGCGTCGCAAGTGGACGGGACTCTGACTTCGTTCAATTGGCCTCCTCTCGTGGTCTCGGTCCCGTTCAGACTCAAATCTTTCACGTTCTCGTTCCCTTTGCCTGTAACTGTATTCCCGAATATCTTGCTCATAAGGATCATTTCTGTAATCCCTGTATTCTCGAGGGTCATCATAATAGCGTGATTCATAGTAGTCTCCTTGGTAAGTTTCCCATTCGGAATAAAATTCTCTCCCTCGAGCTGCATAGTCCCTTCTGGAATCCTCAGGATATGTGCCTGGAGTACGAACATTCTCGTAGTATGTACGATCTTGGCTGTAGTCATAAGATGCCCTTCGCTCTTCTCTGCCAAAAAATTGAACCAACAACAATGGATTAGCCCTTTTTGTTTCTTTGGCACTTACATGCATCAAATTGCATATAGATGATCAGAAAAACCTGCTTCTAAAAATCATCCCCATTATTTAGGCCTGTGCCAGAAATCTGGTCTATCTGGCACAACTTGTGCTCAAAGTGTAAATTACACACTCGATTTCATAGACTTGGTTTCAAGAAAGAAAAAACTCGCAATAATGTATTCACACTGATTACACATTGAAATGTACTTTTCTTTTTTTAATGGGCTATTTGAAATTTTCAAATCCTATTATATTGTATTTTGTATCTATTAGCCAATGCTGGTGCAACCCTTTTTCATTCTTTGGTAATTTAGGTGGTATATAGTGATTTATAATGGACACCAGTATTAAATAGTAGAAATGCCATACTTCTAAGCATTTCACAATCACTTCATATCACAATTTGGGAAACAGTCAGTTTTAAAAGGTACATCATTAGAATCTTACCACCTATGTGACCTGAACAGTATGTAGTCTAACACCTCAAAAATATTCTGATGCTTAATCTCTCTGAACTCGTTTCCTCACATGCAAAATGTGATGACTTCTCTTCAAAGGGTTGTCACGAAATGAAGAATAAGAAAGCACCTGTGAAAACGTTTCTAACACGATGCGAGGCACATCCTTGGCCTTTACTGGATTTACCCAGCCTGCCAACTAACAACTCTGGGATGGCTACAAACAATCTAACAGGACTATTCCATTTCTTTTCTTTTCTTTTTTGCTCCATTGGGCTGCTAACTCCTCAGGTGAGAGTCTGGGCTTTCTACTTCTGCAAAGAGGTACAGTCTCGGGAACTCAGAGGGACAGTCATGAGTTGGTGGAATCCATTCAATGGCAGTGAGTTGGGTTAATTCAAACCGAGCTCACAGTCATCAATGCTGACTCACAGCGTCCCCCTGTGGGTTTCCCAGACTATAACTGTTTACAGGAGTAAAAAGTCTTTCTCCTCTGGAGCTGCTGGTGGTTTTGAACTGCCAACCACACAGACCGCAGCCCAACACGTAACAACTATACCTCCAGGACTCCAACTATATAACTAGGTTAAAAAAAAAATTATGTATACATTAACTATTAAAAAAAATTATGGATTCAGTGGAGAGCGCCAGAGGTTTATACAGAAAGTGCTATTTGAAAGTCAGGTTTTGTTGCTTTGTTTAATTTCTTTCTTTTTTAAAAAATTCAACTTCTGCTAGCGATTTTGTGCTTGCTGCATTAAAAACAAAAACCTGTCAACTCTTACCACACGGAGAGTAAAAGTCAATTTGTAACTAGGTGAAAAAACAGAGTAAGACTTTTGGGGCCTCGTTTTACGAAATGCAAATATAACAAACATTGTGTGCAAAATGTGTTGCTGAAAGGGTCTCCAAACAGCACAGGTACACCTATCTCAGTGTGCATGTTGACTGCACTTACATCATAAGGGCAGGAAGACGACTACCTGTCATATAATATGGGCATGTCAGCGCCCCCCCACCCCCACCCCAGAAGTGCTTCTGGCCTTGGGCTGTCCCTTAGTTCCCCAGAAGCCAACTGATGGTTCCAAGGTCCCAGGGCAGGGAGAGTATTGTTCCCTAACCCGGGAGGCTGGGAACTGATCTAGGGCGAGGTTTCCGAGGTCCTTGGCTACCAACCGGCAGAGCCCGCCTTGGCCAGGAGCCCCAGAGGATTCTACAGTTGCTAGGCTAGTTACTAAGGCACCAAGGGTCTCAGCGGATTCTTCCATTTCTAAGGAAATCACAGTGGGGTTTTTCACGCAGTGACCTGTCATGGTGCTATCAAAATAGGATTAAATATACACACAAGAACATGTGTGTTATATAAAATGAAATATACCAGTTTCAGAAACCAACTCCTTCACTATTGTTTACACCCTATTACAAAATTTTGTTCTCTCAAGTAGGCATGGACTATTCATTCCGCACAGTGCTGCCATTATGGGCTCAGTGAAATAAACCAAAACTAGAACCCAGGACCCATAATGACCACTGGTTTTGTCTTGTTAGCCACCATTTCCCTACCTCTTGTACCAGTGCTGGCTCAGAGCAGGTATTTGAAGAGTCATCAAAAGAATAAACTTTACAAAACTAGGTCGGAGTTTGCTATTGGGTGATTCTAAGCCTTTTAATGGCAAATGAAACATCTTGAGTTAACATGAAGCGTCACTGCAAGCATCAATAATGCATTATTACTTGCATTTATACCAAACTCTCTGGGTTAAAAGAGAGATGCTGTTTTATGATCTAAGGAGTCCTGGTGGCGCGTGGGTAAACGCTTGGCTGCTAACAAAGGGAAGCAGTTCAATCCACTCTGCAGGAGAAAGACGTGCAGTCTGTTAAGATGTACAGCAACTGGAAATCACACGAGCAGTTCAACTCTGCCCGACAGAGCTGTTATGAGTCAGAGTCAGCGACAGCTATGCTAGCATAGTTGGTTCAAGAGGATCCTTCCACATGCATTCCTTAGGAATCAGATTCACTGCCTAAATATTGGCCAGCAATCTTGCAAGTAAATTATACTGGGCATATTTAAAGAACAGTATTAACATTTTTTTTAAATTAAATAAACTACAACTATATCCAAAAACACAGGGCGGAAATCCTAACATCCCAATGTACATGTGTGAACAGTAGTGCTAGGGCACTGTTCTGAAAATAACAATTATGAAAATAGAGCAATTAAGAAAACTGTTGCACATAATTTGCTGGGCCTTATGGCTATAAGGAACAAAGAGAGTCCCTGCTCTCAAGGAGCTGGACAATACACCATAGCATGTGCAGCATCTCCTCTACAGAGTGCCCAAGGAGCTGACTATGGCCAAGATTTGAGATGACTCCGGAGATTCATGTGATTGTACACCGTCCAAACTTCCGAACGGCCACAAGTAGCAGCCCAAGCATTTAGTAGCCGCTGATGTTATCATCAAAAGCATTCAGCTGTCTGACCACAGTCATGGCCCGACCTCCCTGAGTACATGAAGACTCAAATGAAACCCAGTGTGCAATAGGCTTAAATGGATAGTAGCTTCCAAATAGAAAAGGGTCCACTGATGAAGCATCTGGTAGCATTATGCAGCTGCCAACTGCTGTTGAGTTGGCCCTGACTCATGGCCACTCCTGCACTGGGATGGGTCACTGGGATTCAGAGTTTCTGCTGGCTAGTCTTAGGGCAGTTCTTTCTAGTGCAGCTCAGATGAAGAGGCCACTGAAGCTTACTCTCCTGACAGGCAGGGATGACACTACTCATGAGGTGCGCTGGCCGGGAATGGAACCCACGTCACCCATTACACCACCACTGCCTTCTGGGCATTGTGACAGGATATTTTCATATATTCACTTAAAAAAAAACTAGCCACCAGTTAGTTATAAGACAGTTGTAAGTTAAAGAAGATAGGATTGCATTTTGAGATCTTAAATGTACTATATTTCCTGTAAGCAGCCCAGGAGGAGGGAAAAAAATCAACCCTACAGTACCATAACTGAAAAATGTTAACAAGGGGAATAAGATTTATTTTCTACGTTGCCAAAATTACTCAATTATATGTGCTTTGATTTATTGATTCACAAATTACTTAAATTCTAAACTACAATACAGCTGTTTATAGTCTTTACAAAGTCTACCTCAATCCCAACCCTGACTGCACCCTTCTCTCTCTACTCAAAGTCTAGAAGGCTGGTGTCTGTTACAAAATCCATTCCTGAGGCCAGGAGAGAGAACAGGGCTTATGAGCTCCAGTGTTTCCCTGACAGCTTGGGGCCAGTGCCGGCCACGAGGGAGGTAGGCCCTGAATTTGACAAAGCGGCAGGGTGTTCGTTCTTCCTTGTTGACTTTTTAAGATAAATGTATGAGAACACACATGGTAACAAACATGATACCATTACCAAATATGTAGTGCATTTAACAGTTTATTATGTAGTCTACAATGTGTTATTACATTTGACTTAAAACTACTAACAATAAAAAAAGAAAGTGTTTTCAAATTGATTTTGTACATAAAGTTATAATCTATCAAAACATTAACTCATTCGAACTAAGGGTAGCAAAAACTCCAATTGCGATTCAGGTAACCCCAACAATTGTGAGCCAAATGAAAATGTATTCTTAAAGAAACTACTACGGCTTTCATATAAGGAGAAAAAGAGGTTTAGTTTTACAGGGACAAGGATAATGTTATAATAAAAGATGAAAAATAAATTTAATCTCATCTAAATTTTTTGTATTTGAAATTATAAAATTCATGTTTAATTGATGGGTTTAAAATATGTACCTTCTTTCTGCTAACATTTCATAGAAGTCTCGGATATCTTGACCAGATTTCTCCATGCAGTGGTAAAATGCCAACTGACTTTCCCGATTTGCAAAATCCACCTTAAAAAAAGTGATGGGGTGGGGGGAGAGATAGCAGGTATTTGATAATAGTCTTACACTTCAATTTGCAAACTATTCCCAACATAGTCTTTAAGGACAAATTTCAGGAACTAGCCGTCTATCTGAATTAAGTGCAAAAGTCCTTGTCAATGAAACTATGTACTTTGAAATCACTCTCAAATAAATTCTGCACTCATCTTGATACAGAATTGTAAGCTAGAGTTCCAGACTCCAATCTTGAGCGGGGGTGGGGGGTGGCAAGCAACATCTAACACGACGTTACTGAATTAAATAATCAGACCAACTAAATTTAGTAATTTCAGTGCAAAAATCTACTAAACCACAGTTAAAATATAAAACAAGATATGGAAGAATATTTAAACTTACTAACAGCTGGGTTTCAAAATCATTAAAATAGTTGATATCTACAATCAATACTCTCTCATTTTATTTCATAAAGACATTTCAATTGACCATCACAGTTATTAAGTGCATAAATTTCTTCCAGCTGTGATAAATACTTGTTTTAAACAAATAAACCAGACAAAAGATCATGCTTTCAGTGGTTACCCACTATTTAGGAGGAGAGGAAAGAAGAAGAAGAGAAGACCAATTCAGGAAGCTGGACTGATTGACAATTTGAGCTTCTGGGTGTGCAGATGCCCACAGGGGACTGTGGGCTGGCCTGCAAGGAGCATGTACAGGTGAGCATTAGGAACCCCAAACATAGAGAAGCATCTGTCTTCAAATGAAAAGATTTTTAGGGAAATTTTTGTAGCTGATGGTTTAAAAGACCCTGTTCTCTTCTACTAGTTGAGTATAAAAATCATGTATCTCCTTTAAAAATTGAAGGCATAAACTCCCCTGACTGGCAATCTCTAAAATGCCAGTTGTGAAGGGGTCAGATGAAAGTACAACTTTGTCTTGCTTCTGCTTCGTATCATTCTGCACACCTTAATTTTATTCCCACCGAGCTTCCTCCCCTTGGTCTCTTTTACAGCCGCTTGTGCATATTCAATTTCATTGTAGAGAACGAGGGCCATGCCTTTTAAGCGGTCAAACACCACCTGTAAAGAACAAAACAACCAAACAAAAACCAAATAAGAGCCTCATCCACTGGGCTTAGTGTCAGTCCCAACAATATCCTAAGTCTCAAGGACACTGCTACGAAAATTAAAAGATGTGTGTGTTTGCATGTGTGCTTACACACCCAGGACACACATATGTATATACATGTTTTTAATTCCAAAAATTATTTTAGACTTTTCTTAATGATGCACGTGAGTGAAAACACAATAAAAGATGCAGGGACTGTTTAGTATCGTGGATACTGTGGCTTGAGGTATGGTATGCCTTTATTTTGTTTTTCTGTGTTTTACTTCATTGTCCTTGTTGATGGAGTACTGCCCGGGACGTTATTTTAGCCTTGGCTCAAAAAAAGGAGAAAAAGACCACTGAAAAGGATTGGGAAAAAAATACCGAATAATGTATTTCAGTGATGTTGAATGGGAAGTAACCCTGTCATGTGGCAATATTTAAAAGATGTGTATTTCCTCCAAGCAACAAAAGATACTAAGAAAGTGTGTAACATACCTATCAGAGTAAATTTGCTTTTAAGGAGTTAAAGCTTCACCTACACCCTAAAGGGGTCCAGAATCCCTTTTCCTATTATATCCTTGGTATGTGACATATTACCACTGTAAACACTAGGTAAATGAAACTTTTGTTGTGTGAATTTCTTTTTAAAGTCATACACATATATGATGTGTATATACACACATACACATGTATATAAAATAACCAAGCCTCATCACCTAGTAGTGTGTTGTGAGTAACATATCATTAGAATGGCTACTTCTAATGAAAGGTGACATTTCTACTGAGCTGTACAATGCAGACGATTTAAAAAACTAATCATCTTATCTGGCTCAAAACAGTTTTTCAAAATGCTCATATCAAAGGTAACAATGTAAATGCCCTTGTAGACCTTGATGAGAAATTTCATTTATGAGGTATTGAAGAAAAGAAAAAGATGGCACTAGAAAATTAGGACTTAAAGGACAGAATACAAAGAAAAATGGAATCAGAAGGAACTTTGAACCACACAGGAAAACCTCCAACCTACCTTTACTACAGGCCCGTATCGGCAGAAATGTCGAGTTAGATACTGATCCGACACATTGGAAGAAAGCCCATCTAACCACACGCAGTTTGTAGGCATGCTCTTTCCAAAACCCAGCTGAACATAAAAGGCAAAATTTCTATTAGGGAAGCTTACGATTATTTACTTTCACACTTCTGGAAAAAAATTGGTCTTTGGTAGGAGTTTTAGCAAATCAACATCTCAAATAGAAACCATTTGATTAAAATCAAATAAAAATTTATAAAAGAATTTTTTAAAATTCTGCATGGATAATCAGATATTAGTTGGCTCAGATTCTAGTCCAATTGGATGAAGATTAGTAGTTCAGATTACAATTAACCGGACGAGGGTGAAAAGACAATGTCTCATACCTTTATGGTTATCTAACTCAAATCACTGCCATCAAGTCAATTCTGATTCATAGCGACCTGACACAGGATTTCTGAGGTGTAAATCTTTACAGAGCAGACAGCCTCATCTTTCTCCCAAGATTACCTAACTCCATGACTACATTTTAGGTAATCACACGCATATGTAAATCTTAAACATAAAACAAATGATAGTAACATTAATTTATCCATATCCCCTTACCTTGAGGCGATTGTTTCCAAGGTACTCCCCATCCATCTTCTTAATAGCCTTACAAACGCTGGCAATATCACAGTATTGCAAGAATGCGTACTGAGGAACTCCGTTTACTTTCTTAATATCAATATCCTATAAAGACCAATTAATACCATTTATTGATGGATCAAAAAGAAAACAAATCAGAATAAACTAAGTCCATATGGGGTGCCTCATTTCTCAAAAAAAATTTACTTCCAATAATCATCTTCTTACCTAAAATTGTGCATTTTAATGCTACTGTAAATAAGTAGTATAGTCACCAACCATGAAATCCTTTCTACCTGTGTCTCTTTGTAGCTCTCAAATCTTTAACATTTTAAATCCATAATACCAGTGTTCAGAGAAACATGATAATAAAAAGGTTACCTATTTAACAAAAACCTAAGAAATAATTCCTTTTGCAATAGCTAAAATCCTTAGTAGAGGTCAGGCCATTTAAAATATAAAATCTGAGAAAATTAAAAACTAAAAAGAAATCACATTTTCAAAAGGCCATTTAAAACATGAAATCCTGAATTAGAAGACCCAATAAGTCTATCAGTATATTCACCAAATCTGGTGATTAGTCAGTATACCTCTCCTATCCAGAAAGACGGGAAATATAATGTCTGAACAATACTCTGTAAAGATGATCCAAACATATCCCTGGACTCAAGAAAATGCTATAAAGGAGAACCCCCATCTCTCAGTAATCCACAAAACCCATGTTCATATCGGTCACTCCTGCCCTGCCTGCTGAGAGGAGGTGGTCAGCCAACCTGGCTTACTCATGAAAATGGTTCAGAGAATGCAGACATTTGGACGGTGAAACTTGTACCTGAACAATACTGGCCTGGGTCATATGCTGCAGAATAAGCACTGTGATCACTTAAACCTTCCTAAGGATCACAAGCCAATAATCAAAACTTGAAATCAGAGGAAAATGAAAAATCGACTTAAAGAACTCTTTGATGAGTCTCACACCAAAGCAACAGTCTCTACTCAAAGTTGTCAAAGGAGTGGTTAGCACACAGTGACTCTCGCCGTCGTGTGCAGTGTAAGACCCAAGGGGCCTCCACTGAAGAGAAAGGGGCCTCCACTAACCGAGTGCTTCTGGCTGCAGCATCATTTATTATCAATGAAGCAGCAACCATTCCACCAGAATGAGATTCATCTTTAGAATTAATGCTCTTAAAAGCAACCCAGGTGATGGAAGCCTATTTCCGAGCCCAAATACGTCTTTTCTACTCCTCCAAAATTTAAAGCAGTAGCTACATTCAAACAGAAGAATGTCTAAAAGTGTAATCACTTCAAAGACTTAAGAATGCCAAACAGCAAAAAAGTAAAGCTACGTTAAAAAAAACAAAACAAGCTAGTGCTCAGAGACATAAACTCAGTGCGCCCCACCCCGACTAACTCCCCCACCTAAGTAGGCAGTAGACTGGAATCAAAAGTATATGTCACTCTGAAAGAATTTTAAAACAATGAAAACAATTGAAAAGGGAGATGAATGCTTTGTTGGTGTTTTTCTTTATCACATAGTATCTGCTGCTTTCCATCACTCCTGTCTCTTGCTCCTAGTCTGCAGAAACTGCGGCTTAAGCCAACCATATGCATAAAAACAATGTCCTGTTTACAAGACCAAGATCATTTGCTCAGAGTGGTAATGTATAACGAAGGATGGATGGACAGAAGGGCATATACATCTGAAAGACTAACAATACCTATTCCTATCTGGACATTTCTTTACTTTCCAAAGCCCAAACAGAACAGAAACTTTCTTCCCCATGATTAATACAGAGAAAGAAGCTAGGAATGACAGAAGTCATTTCCTTATTTTTAAAAATATTAGTCAGTGTTACCTCAAAGCCGTAACCAAACTATTTTCACTAAATGCTGGTTCAAACTTTCAGTCCTGGGGACCGGAAAGGCTACAGCTTTCATCTTGTAAGAAGGGGCTTGCAAACTCTCAGCTTACGATATTAACTCTCAGCTCACGAGATTAACACGGAATGACAAACACCTTCAGAAACAGCTCCCCTTAACTCCTTTGCATGACTGCAAAGCTGGCTGAGAGGCCCATCACCACACAATAGTCACACAATGATCTGCTGCTTTTCCACCAACATGTGAATTTGATCTTTTACAGAACCAGAGATAGCACTGAAAAATCACCAGATTGCAAAAATGAAAACAAAAAACATTAATATAAGTAAACAAAACAAAAAATTTAAGTGAACAAAAAGGCATCCATATCACATATTACATTTTTATATACGTACAAACAAAACAGTATTCAATGGGCTATTCCAGATCTTTTAACAGGAGTTAAAAATGCGCAGAACAAATGAGAAAACCATTTATCAAACCATCTAAATCTCATCTTTACATACAGAATTTATGCTATGCTCTTTTATGACAAAGAACTAAAAGCATTTTATTGTAGAAAGCAACATACCACAATTTCTCCAAAGCGCTGGAAGATGTTTCGAAGGTCATGATAAGTAGTGGTCTTTTCAAGGTTGCCAATAAAGAGGGTTCTTGTTGCTTTGGGGTGGAATTCATCTATCCTTTCATCCAAGGGGCGAAATTCATTTTCACTTTCTGTTTCTGTAAATGGAATGGGGGTAGAGTAAGAGTGAAGAGACCATTTTTGTGCATATTTATGTACATTGGGGAAAAGCCACATAAAAAACCTAAGTATCTAAAATAACAGGCTTGGATACTCACACAAACTGAAAAATTAGACACACCTTCAGAAACAGCTCCCCTTATTAACTCAAAGTAGACTACAAGGCTAAGGGAACTAACTTATCAAAGTGAAATGCAGTTTGATTTTTTTAAAAGAAAAGTGAACTGTATTTCAATCTGCTTGGTTGATTTATCTCAAAATAACTACTGAATAAAAATTTAAACCACCCACCAAAATGGTAGTGCTTTGGACCTAATTTTAGAGTCTAACATTGTGCAAGTGGACTTTCAATAAAATTATAATCTGAAAAACACACCAATGTTGTCTTATGTAATTGCATTTACTTTACAAAGTCTTATAGGATTTTTTGACATTTCTCATTTGATAATAGCTCAGATGTCTAGACGCAGGCATTTGATACATACAAGAATAACAATCTTACGAAAATTAATTGAAGAAATACTTATGGAATTGCTACATAATCCCCAATGAGAAACTGCGGTACTCAATGTTCCTTAACGTCTCTAGGCTTTAGCACCATTTTTAAGTCTTTCTCTGAAACTTGCATAATTTAGTCTAGGCAGGGATATTCAGGGTTTTGATGATACACTTGTATGCTCCCTCTTTTAAATTAAAAATCAACAACAAAATGCAAAGCAAAAATTGTCCAGAGAGTTTTATTATTCGCTCAACAGTACTGGAATAAAGTGGCAGCCACTGAACATTTCTAACGATGTTAACACTAGTATTAAGAGACTAGACTTCAGAGCGGTTTAAGTGAATTCAGCCAGACTACATCTCACTTCTAATTGAAGTTTGACGGTGCTAATGAGAGCTTAGTGTAATCTTTGCAGTTTCCTCATAAGAGTAAATGCTTTCCAAGCCAAGTGGACCAGAAACTGCCTATATACCCGTCTACATTCTCATTACATTTCACAGGGATGCTGTAAGTGCACCTCATTTTAAGTTTGATTAGTTCCTCTTCAAACTACCTCATAGAGGACAGGCATTTAGAAATGACTCCCAAAAATGGAGAAGGAAAAGAAAAACAGAATCCAGATATATCTTGAGGATTACAATCTGAACAGGCAGAATCAGAAATGTAAAGCATGATCTTAACCCATTAACATTTGGAATGGTTTAAAAGCGCAACAATTTTCAAAGTTGAAAATTCACTTTATACAGTAAAACACAGGTTTTTCATGTGTCATTTACTTAATTTTGTCATCACTTGACCAGTCTCAATCCTAAGGCATATATGTCTTCAGAGAAAACGTGTTTTCCTGAAGTTTTATGCAGCGTTTCCCAAAGTGGGTGTCACTGAGTTATGTTTTTCTGAAAAGGGGCAGTAGGCAACCTGTGGCTTATGGGATTCTACAGTGTGCATGCGGATCATTAAGAAGGTCACTGAATGTTACAATTGTGTTTCCTGGGTTTAGATTTAATTCCCAAAAAACATAATAGCCTAAGAAATATGTTCAGTACATTTCAATAAATACATCTATAAGAACTACCCAGTAGCATAAACAGTGTCCACACTGGGATAATATGCTGGAATACAAATTAGACTAAAATCACGTTTATCCCTCACCTGGCCCTATCCAGGCTGTTACTTCAATCTGCATGCCGAAGAAAAGCTTTCCTTTTGACGCAGTCAACGCTTTCTCTTGGTCCTCCTGCTGGCGGAAGAAGACCAGCCCATACCTCTCTTCTGAAGCTCCGTGTATCTGCACCGATGTCACCTTTCCAAACTTCTTAAATTCATGGAAAAGACCATCTTTAAGGCTTGTATCTAAATCCCCAAACAAAAACAAATCATTTATTCTTCTCATAGAATACAATAAGCAAGCCACTATATTCTTAGCCTGATTTATCTAAGTTTTGTTAATACAAAAAAAATAATTTTTTTCACACAAAGTAACTCTAGAAAGATGTTTTGAAAACTACTGTAGACAAGAAAAAAATAAAACTATTGTACAATTCTGAATATGGACTGCATGTTAAATGATGTTACTAATTATTTGCTAGGTAAGAACAGTATGGTGATAGTGCAAGAAAATGTCCTTGTATTTTATAGATGCATTCAGTAAACATACCAGTATGAAATGATTTAACATAAGGATTCACCTTAAAATACCAAAAAGAAAAAAAATTAATAAGTAACAAAAAAGAAGGAAGCTAGAAGGGAGATGAAACAAGTGTAGCAAAATGTTGATCATTTCTTAAGCTGGGGTATGATGTATCCCCTTGTTATATTGGCACAACTGCCTCTTGAACCATGTACAGGTTCTGCGTGAACATATGTAAGTGTTCTAGAATTCCTACTCTTCTTGAGGCTATCCAGTTTACTATGGTCCAAAGTATAGGAAATTAAATTTGTCCAATGTTCCGAGTAAGGTATAGTGCACTATTACTTCTACTTTGGTACATGTTTCAAATGCTCATAATAAAGATTTGTGTGTGTGTGTGTGTGTGTGTGTTATTGTTAGAGGCTATCAAATCCGCTGGCATCCACAGTGACCCTATGCACAACAGAAGGTAACAATGTAGGTCCTGTTTCGTCCTCACAGTGGTTCCTGTGCCTGAGCTCACTGACGCAGCCCCTGTGTCAATCCATCTCATTGAGGGTCTTCCGCTTTTTGCTGCCCTTCCACTTTCCCAAACGTGACGTCCTCCTCCAGGGTCTGATCTCTAATGACAGTATGTCCAAAGTATGTAAGACATTCTTGCCTCTAAGGAACATGCTGACCGTACTTCTTCCAACACAGATCAATTTAGCAGTACATGGTACTTTAAATTCAAAGGCATCAATTCTTCTACAGTCTTCCTTATTCACTGTCCAACTTTCACATGCATATGATGCAACAGAGAACATCATGGCTTGGGTCAGGCACACATTAGTCCTCAAGGCAACACACCCTTGCTCTTCAATACTCTACAAGAGGTCTTGGGCAGCGGATTTACTCAATGCAATGTGTCTTCTTACCTCTTGACTGCTGCTTCCAGGAGCATTGTGAATCCAAGTCAGACAAAATCCTTGACAATTTCAACCTTTTCTCCATTTATCAGGATGTCGCCAACTGGCCCAGTTGTGAGGGTTCTGGTCTTCTTTACACTGAATTGCACTCCACACAAAAGACTGCAATCCCTGATCTTCATCAGAAAGTGTTTAAAGTACTCTGAACTTTCAGTAAGGAAGGTTGTGTCATCTACCTATCACAAAGTATTGATAAGTCTTCCTCTAATCCAGATGCTTCATTCTTCTTTATATAATCTAGCATCTCTGATGATTTGCTAAGCATACAGATTGAACAAGTTTGGTGAGAGGACACAACGCTGACACCCACACCACCTTTCCTGATTTTAAGCCATGCAGTAGCCCTTCATTCTGTTCGCACAACTGCCTCTCACGATCCAAGAACAAGTTCCTTGTGAGCACAATGAAGTTTTCTGGAATTGCCATTTTTCTCAAGTTTATCCACAATTTATTATAGTCCACACAGGCAGATGCCTTGGCATAGTCAACGAAACACAAGTAAACATCTTTCTGAGATTCTCTGTTTTGAGTCAAGATCCATCTAACATCAGAAATGATATCCCTTGTTCCAGGTTCTCTTCTGAATCCAGCCTGAACGGCTGGCAGTTCCCTGTCAAAGCACCGCTGCAATCGTTGTTGGATGATCTTCAGTACACAAGTGGTGGCTGTTACTGGGCCTCCTAATGACCCCCTGCACAGCAGAACAACCCACTGCCCTGTCCTGTGCCGTCCTCACACCATTGCTGTTTGAGTCTGTGGTTGCAGCCAATGTGTTCATCCATTCTGTTGAGGTGGGGGCCGGCCTTCCTCTTGTTGCTGCGCTTCTATTTTACCAAACATGTCTTTCTCTAGAGACTGGTCTCTCCTGGAAACATGTCCAAAGTGAGACAGAGTTTCACCATCTTCCCTTCTAAGGAGCATTTTGGGTCTACTTCCTCCAAGAAAAATTTGTTCTTCTGAAGGCCGAAAGTATGTTCAATGTTCTTGGACAACTTCATAATTCAAAGGCCTACATTCTTCTTTGGTCTTCTTATTCATTGTTCATTTTTCACACGCATATGAAGCAACAGACAATATCATGGCTTGGGTCAGGCACTTCTTAGTATTCCAAGTGATATTTTTGCTTCCTAACACTTTAAAAGACCTTTTGCAGCATACCTGCTCAATGCATACATTGTTGATTTCTTGGCTGTGGCTTCCATGGGAATTGATTACTGATTCAAACAAAATTAATTTCTTAGCAAATTGAATCTTTTCTGTTTAGCATGATGTTGCTGATTGGTCTAGTTGTGAGGATTTTTGTGTTCTATAGTAGTACAATTTTTAAAGCATTGAGGGGCAATGCTATACTTTTTATCGTATGTAACATGTTAAACAATAATAATGCCTTTTACCGATGAGTCATATCACCTGGGGATCTTACGTTAAAATGCTTCATTACAAAAAGCACGTAGAAAAACAAGCTAAGGATCTACAAGTGACCTCCTCCCTGGGTGCAGACAACAGAAAAGTAGATGAAGGAAGACGTCAGACAGGACAAGATAGGGCAAAATAATAATTTATAAATTATCAAGGGTTCATGAGGGAGGGGGGAGCGGAGAGAAAGGGGATAAACTGAGGACCTGATGCCAGGGGTTTAAGTGGAGAGCAAATGTTTTCAGAATGATGAGGGCAATGAATGCATAAATGTGCTTTATACAACTGATGTATGTGTGGATTATGATAAGAGTTGTATGAGCCCCTAATAAAATGATTTTAAAAAAAGAAAGAAAAACAAGCTAAATCCACCCCCACCCATATCTAATTTATTAAATGAACTAAAACAAAAGCAAATCTCTAATTGATTTCTGTTGGTTTGAACATCTATGCCATTAGCCATTTCTATATATGCCTAATGTTGAAAAAATGCTATATCATGTCAAATGTCAATTGAAATTATCAACAGTAAAGGAAAAACTGTAGTATGACTTTTGACTGGACTTTTCCATTAGTCACTGCTTTTATTTTAAATGTTATTTTTATATGTGTTTATAGTTTTATGTCCAAAGTTATTTTACATTGTAGAGGGCTATGGGCCAACATAATACATTTAATTATAAACAGTATTAGTGTTTTCAACTTTTCATTATACCACATTTCTTTTTTTTCAAGACTAGTCAAGTGCAGTAGTGAAGGGGGGTAGACAAATAGGTCGACCAGTAATTGAATGTAAGCAATCGTTGTGAGATCTCACTACCTTCGGACCAGCCCATACCACATTTCTTCTAGCACCAAAATATTTAATCTAGAAAGCAGGTTTATCCAAAAATAAACCATGCTTTCTTTGCACATCCACCATGCAATCTTTATTATAAATGATTACACAGACGCACCCATGAACACAAATAATCCACCATTGTCTTTACACAGTATGTGTAGGAGCAACAACCTAGGTATTAAGCTGCATAAAGTTATTATAATCACACTTTTTCCTACATGTTATTAAATATGAATGAGGTACAAAAAGGAAAATCATTTTCACTGCATAGAGTTTTTCAGGCTGAGAGAAAAAGCAGTTTCAAAAAATATACCTGTCGAGCGTACTGGAAGATTCTGAACCTTGATCCCAAAGCTTTTTCGGGGCTCATCTTTGTCCAGAGCTGACAGCAACTGGGAAGTGGGTGCTGGGACTGCTGCAGATTGAACGGATCGGGCTGGGGAGTCATCACTGGAAGTACTGCTGGAATCACTGCTACAGGAGGGCAGAAGCAAACTCTCAGCAAAAGCCAGCAGAAAAATGGGCAGCATACCAACATTTCAGAATGATAAGTAGCAGTAATCAGCATGTCTTAAGTTTTAGGTCTGTGATTTCTGAAAGCCCTACTTTCTCCACAGCTATCTCATACTCAACCAGCAAATGCTGATCTGAGAATATGGAAGCAGTAGTAGCATTCATTTACTACAACATGACACCTAAATGCAAGTTCTGTATTTCTTTTTCTGTTTTAAATCTTTTTATTGGGGGCTCATACAACTCTTATCACAATCCATACATACATACATTGTGTCAAGCACATGTGTACATTTGTTGCCATCATCTTCCTCAAAACATTTTCTTTCTACTTGAGCCCTTGGTTCAGCGCCTCATTTTTTCCCCTCTTCCTTCCTCCCTCACAAATCCTTGATATTTTTTTCCCCACGTCTTACACTGTCCGATGTCTCCCTTCACCCACTTTTCTGTTGTCCATCATTGTGATCGGTTCCCACTTTCTCCTCCACCTTCCCCTTCCCCTCCTGGTATCGCTAGTCTCATTATTGGTTCCGAGCGGTTTATCTGTCCCGTATTCCCTGTGTTTCCAGCTCTTATCTGTACCCGTGTACATCCTCTGGTCTGGCCAGATTGGTAAGCTAAAATTGGGATCATGATAGTGGGGAGAGCGGGGGAAGCATTTAAGAACTAGAGGAAAGTTTTATGTTTCATCGGTGCTATAGTACACCCTGACTGGCTCTCCTCCCCAAGACCATTCTGTAAGGGGATGTCCAGTTGCCTACAGATGGGCTTTGGGTCTCCACTCGGCACTCCCTCTCATTCACAATGATATGATTTTTTGCTCTTTGATGCCTGATCTATCAACACCTAGTGATCACACAGGCTGGTGTGCTTCTTCCATGTGGGCTTTGTTGCTTCTCAGCCAGATGGCCACTTGTTTATCTTCAAGTCTTTAAGACCCCAGATGCTTTATCTTTTGATAGCCAGGGGCCATCACCTTTCTTCACATTTGCTTATGTCTTTATATCGCTTTGTCTTCAGCGATCGTGTCAAGAAGGTGAGCATTATGGAATGCCAGTTTAATAGCACGAAGTGTTCTTGCATTCAGGGAGTACGAGTGGAGGCCCAATGTCCATCTGCTACCTTAATGCAAGTTGTATTTCTATAGATCATTTACAACAACTGAATGCAATTTACTGAAGTGCAATAGTAGAATCATAAACATGGGTTGGGGTCCAGAGATCTTAGGGCAAATCTTGGTTTAGACAGATAGCAAGTACATTTAAGCACGTCATTTGAGTTCTTGCCAGGCCTCTATTTTCACATTTGTAAAAACAAATCGAAAAAACCAAACCCACTGTTTTCAGGCCAACTCCAACTCACGGAGATCCTGTAGGACAAGGAGAACTACCACTTAGAATTTCTGAGATGTTAAATCTTTAAGGGAATAGACTCACTTTTCTCTCAAGGAGAAACTGGTGGGTTTGAATCTATGACCTGTGGCTAGGAGCCATTCAAGGAACAAACCAGTATGCCACCAGGGCTCAGCCAGTAAAATGGGGATAATAATGAGAGTTCCTTCACAGGATCAACAATTAAATAGCTTACAGATTTACGGGTAGGGAATCTGACAAATATTCAACAACAACAAAAATTAGCAGCACTTCTGTTATTACTACTACTTGCGTAGTACGTATGTGTGCATGTAATTTTTAGGAAACCAAGTATCCCAAACAATTTACCAGATAATTTTAACTTTAAAATTTTTGAAGTACTAAACAACAACAAAAACTCATTGCCATTGAGCCGAGTTCCAATTCATGACCACCCACTAGGACAGGGTACGGATGTCCCTCAGGGTTTCCAAGTTTGTGGAGCTGTCCGCTAGGGTTTCCCTCAGGGTTTCCAAGTTTGTGGAGCTGTCCGCTAGGAGCAGACTGCCATATCTTTCAGGGATTACTGAAGTTCCAACGGCAACCTCTCCGTTAGCAGCAGAGTGCAAACCACTATGTCACCAGGCCTCCTTTCTACAGAACTAGGGAAGGAATGTTATGTAAGATACTAGAGTCTTGCTAGTTTAAACTCTTTTCTGAAGATACTGTGGGAATTGAGAATGAGTGAAATGGAATCTATTACTCTCCTTAGTTTAATGAAATTCTCCAGTAGAAATGCAAGCAAGACCGATGTTACAGATAGAATCAAATTAAGATGGAAGGATATAGGAGGCCTAGTGGTGCCAGGAGTCAATCCTTGGGCTGCTAACTAAAAAGCCGGCAGTGGTGTGAAACTGACCAGTTGCTCAGCAACAGAAAGCCCGACAGGCTGCTTCCATCAAGACTTACTGGGCTTGGAACCACTGTGGAGTTCTATTGTCTGCTATAGGATTTCCTGAGTTGGAACTGACTCAACAGCAGTGGATTTGTGTAAAGGTTTATATTTGATACATTTATTATTTGTATATTTATTAATGTGTAGGAAGTGTATGAGAAACATAAAAATTGCTTGTCAGTAAAGGATGTATAAGGTAACTATTATGATTTTAACTTCCTTTAGAACATTCAAATATATTTTTTAAAGGCTAGTGTTTTTCTAAAATTTTGTTTCATATCCTCTATCTTCTAAGGCTATAACTAGAGAGGGGGCAAAATGCCTCCTTAAACACATCCACTAGAATAGAAGCAAAGCTGTATGGTGGTTTTTGTCATTTGACCTAAAACTACCAATCATATAGCCAGGAAAATCACTAACACAACCAGGGCAAGCAAGCACAACCAAAGGCTGAGACAAATTCATTATTCTGTTTGTTTGTTTTTAATTTTAATAAAGGGAAACATAAAAACAAGGCACTATAACTAAGAATTTGAGGTTTTTTTATTTAGCTCTCCCATGCTTACACAAGAGGAAAAGTTCATGAGGTTATTATTAGAGCGTTTTACAGTTTGAATGTAGAGAAATAAACTGACGTCAGCAAGAGTCAAATGGAGATGGCTGAACTACAAAACATAAATTGCTGGGACAAAACCCTGAGACAGAAGCACAAGTCGTCATTGCCAAAGCTGCCTATTGGTGACCAGGTTCCATCTCCCTCCTACAAAAGCACTCTTGTCTAGGTCATCAAAAGTAATGTCACTAAATACTAAGTAAATTACACTATCTTAAATAGGATGCTGTATCTCAAATGGAATTAAGGATAAACACACCAATTTTAAAACAAGATGTAGAATTTAACTCTTATCTGTTGATGATTTTGAAGTGGTCAGAAAAAAGTAAATAGATTATGAAATAATAAAATACAATATTTCAGTTCACATTTTGATACACTAACCTAAACTGCAGTATGTCTCCAGTATAGTACAGAAAACGTGCCATGAATTTAGATGCTGAACCAAAATGGAGACACAATTCTGAATACTTTCATACCCTCCTAGCTGACAGGTGGAGTGCCCCATGCTTACAGCAATGGGCTAGAGCAGAGAAACGGTTGCAAGGATGGTGCACGGGGTCGCTAAAGGTCAGGATGGACTCAATGCACCTAACAACCACCACCAGGAAGAAAACCAAATGCCCACAACACTGCTGTTGGTTTTTAATTTTTAAAAATGGTGTTATCTCAATAATTTCATGCTTCTTAAAACTGAAGAATCACGACAGCTCATAAAACATGACAGACTCCTCCAGCGCTTAGTTGTTTCTTCCACTGCATGTTAGTTTGTGGTACTGTGGCAGCTTGCCTGTTGCTGTGAGGCTGGAAGCTAAGCCACCAGTATTTCAAATATCAGCAGAGCTTCCACACCAAAACAAACTCAGAGGAAAAGCTTGGAGATCTACTTTTAAAATCATCCTATTGTAGGGAAAAACAAAACAAAGCCATGGCTCACCACAGAACACTGTCCCATATGGTGCCAGAAGAGGAGTGCCCTAGGTTAAAGGTGCCGAACCACCAAATAGACAGGGACATACAAGCAACCTTTAAACAGTGCAACGGGAGCAGGTAACATTTTGTTCTGTTGTTCATGAGGTGACCACTAGTCGGAGCTGATTCATCGCCAACAAAGGGTGGTTCGGCAAGCTATTGGTGGGGGAAGACAGCTATTCCAGTCACATCTATCTTAAAGTAGTAGTGGTGATGTGGGTGTAACTAATAATTACATTTCAATGCCAATTAAAAGTATCTTTTCAAATGAAGGACTTGAAAGAGGATACAATTTACAAGAAATGCGATTAATTTTCCTCAAGTATATAATAAGAAAATTAAGGCAGGAGGCTTCAAAAAGTTTGTGGAAAGAATGGAATTTAGAAAAACCTTTTTCTAAGAATTTTTGAAGCTCTCGTGTTTGCTTAAAATTTACAATTAATATTACTACGAAAACTAACTTGCATGTCTGATCAAAATTTCTCTAATGGTAAAATATTTTTAAAAGCAAGTGACTGGGAGGGGCAAAAATGAGGAGCTGATACCAAGGGCTCAAATAGAAAGGAAATGCTTTGAAAATGATGATGGCAAAGGATTACAAGAATCTACATGTAACCTCCTCCCTGGGGGACAGACAACAGAGAAGTGGGTGAAGGGAGACGTCGGACAGTATAAGACAAAATAATAATTTATAAATTATCAAGGGTTCATGATGGAGCGGGGAGCAGGGAGGGAGGGGGAAAGATGAGGAGCTGATGCCTGGGGCTTAAGCGGAGAGCAAGTGTTTTGAGAATGATAAGGATAATGAATGTGCAAATGTGCTTTGCACAATTGATATATGTATGGATTGTGATAAGTTGTATGAGACCATAATAAAATTATTTTAAAAAAAGAAAATGATGATGGGAACACATGTACAAATGTGCTTGATACAATGGATGAATGTATAGATTGTGCTGAGACGTTAAGAGTCCCCAGTAAAAGTATTTAATAAAAAAATATATAACATCTTATCATACGATCCCCTCTATCTCCCTTCTGACTTATTTTTAAGTTGTTTTAAATATTT